CACACACACACACACACACACACACACACACACACACACACACACACGTTGGGCTGTGTAATTCCAGTACATGGGAGTGGAGGTTCAAGGTCTTCCTGAGGTACAGTTAGTTCCTGGCCAGCCTGGGTTACCTGAGCCCTTGTCTCAAACACCAAACAAAACTCAAGAAACACAAATCTTTCTTCTGTTGTCCTTTGTTTTTATCTCTTTGCCCTTCACTGTTAGATTTTCATCCTGTTTTTCTGGAATAGGCAGAGGGCGGGACAGAAGAGTGTTTTATTCCCTATTGCTGCCATCTGCTTAAAACAACAGGAGTAATCACCTGACCCCATTGGAGGGTGGGAATCCAGGACAGGATTTACGAGGTGGACACGGAGGTGCCAGCAAACGCTGCATTCCTTCCAGAGCTTTGGGGAGGTCTGGTTCCAGCCTGCGCCAGCTCTGCCAGGCTCTACTTGTCCTCCGGCCAGGACCCTACGTCTTCCACCTTCTCACTCTCTGCTCTTTTGAGTCCTTTTCTGACCCTCTTGTACTGACTCCTGTGCTGAGGACATTGGCCCCACCCAGATGGCCCAAGATTGTCTCCCTGACCCATGACCATTACTGTAACCACAGCTGCAGTGTCCTTTATTGTGTCAACTCATATCTTCACAGGTCTCGGTATCTTTGGGGGCTATTGTTCTCCCCAGCTAGCAATGTTTGGGGGGGGGGGGGGAGGGAGAAAGGGAGGGAGGGGGAGAGAGAGAGAGAGAAAGAAAGAAAGAAAGAAAACCTGTATAGAAACAGAGAGAACCATTGAATTGAGGAGCAAAAGCTGTAGGTTTCTCCACAAATGGTGACACCGTGTGAACGGCAGCCCTCAGGGCCCGGTGGGTGAGGGAGGTGGTGCAGTGGGTACAGTGTCTTGCCATGCGAACACGAGGGCCTGAGTCTGACCCTCAGCACCCACATAAAAGCCAGCTGTGTGGGGCCATGTGTTTGTAATCAATGTTGGAAGGCAGAGACAGGCAGATCCCTCCATCCTCCCTGAGCCAGTAAGCTGTAAGCCAGCGAGAGACCCGCCTCAAAAAGCAAGCAGAGAACAATTGAGGAAGACACCCAACTCCTGGCCTCCACGAGGACACATGCACAGGTCCATGTAAACAAGAACACGTAACACATGTTAGGAACTATGCTGTTCCGTGTCATCTTAAGTCAGGCTCTCATTTTGTGGCTTTCTGTGGCGATCATCTGCCGAGCCTTTGTGGGAAGCCTAACTTCTTCTTCTTTTTTTCTTTCCTTCAATGGCTGTCTCCTGACCTCTCCACCCAGGATTTGCGCAAGCAGGTAGCACCACTGCTCAAGAGCTTCCAAGGGGAGGTAAGTAAGCCTTATGTTCAACTTATACTGACGCCCCCTTCTGTTGCTGGTTACTTTCTTTTCTGCCATGTCAAACATACCTAAGCACAGCAATGTAAGGAAGGAGGGTTACTGTAGCCCACGGGGTAAGGGACACAGTCCACTGTGGCCGCAAGGCTGCTGGCCACTTCCTCAGTCAGGAAGCAGAGAGACGGATGCTGGTGAGAAGCCAGAAAATGGGACCAAATGTCACTGATGGCTTAAAACTCTGGAGCATAGCCTCCTGCTTCCTGAGACAGCCTTCCATTCCCCACCTTCCCTGGTGCCTCAAGGGACACCTCCCTCTCACCCACAGACAGGCTGTTAAGATGAAAGTAGATCAGAAATGCCTTTAGAAGAAGCCAATAATAACTGTTGTCTTTGATTGAAAAGTTTGAAATTTTATAATCATAACGATTACATGTAATTATTATGGCAAAGTCATCAAATTTAACTCACGTTGAAATTAGATTGATTGATTGCTGTACTTAATTTTCTGTTTCACAAGCCCAGACAATTAATTGGGAACGGGAGTTAACCTCAGTGTTCAATCCAATTTGAAGCATGTTCTGCTCCAACAGTAATGTGAATAATCCTTCATAGCCAGGCCTAGTGGAACACTCTTGTAATCCACCCAGCACTCAGGAGACTGAGACAGGAGGATTTTGTTTAATGTCTCAGCTGCATAGTTGAATCCCAGTTCAGCCTATGCTCTATGGCAAGACTTTGTCTAAAGCAAAGCACCTTGCACCTGCAAAGCTCAAGTCCCCCCGGGACTGCAGTCATGCTTGGTCATGAGCCACCATTCAGGTGCTGGGAATGGAACTCTGGTCCTCTCCAAGAGCAACAAATGTCCTTAGCTAACCCAAGCCATCTCCCAACCCGTAATGTTTTTAATCTGCTGAAGCTATATTTCTCCACTTTATTCTTAACATTGTCATTGTCTTTTTTATTTATTAGTAAAAAAGCTTATTAACTGTGTGAGTTATCCTTTTAAAGAGCCAACCTTGAATATGTTTCTTTGGAGTGCTTTTTCATGTTTCTCTTTCCATCTCTCTATCCTGAATTGTAATTAATTATGTTTATTATCCTTTGTGAACACATACTGTTGTATTTTTTCAAAGCTGCTGCTTTTCTAATCAGACCTTGAATTTTTACCTGAGAAGATTTTCCCCGGTTTCCACACTAGTGCTGCCTAAGCCAGTAGCTCCTTGGCCTTGCACAGTCTAGGACATGGCCTCCCCAGAGCTCAGAGAACCCGGAAGAGAGCAGATCTTAGACATTTTCATAGCAGGGAGCACACTGATTGGCTCAGCCAAGCCATCACAGTCGGTATAGGTCAGTGAGCATGAAGCCACCAAAGTCCAGGTCCCCCCTGAACTGGGGCTCACCTGCAGAGCATAGGTAAGAACCCTGGGTGGCCCCAGAGCAGACCCCCTGCTGAAAACCTTCACGCCAAATGAGCAACAGCGTCCCCAGAGCTACGGTGGGCTCTCAGCTCCATCAGAGACACAGTCTCTGTCTAGTACTTCCTGAAACCGCAAGGCCACATGCCATCAGAGCAGAATTCTATGCAAACATCTGGGAAATACCAGAGGAAGTGACTGAGGATGCGGTGGCTCCCACCGTCTTTCTGGGAGGGAGCACCAGTTCGCAGGCTTCATCTTCAGGCCCCGTGAAAGTCGCTTTGAAGGTGACAGCCCTGGTGCCAGGAGCATCGCAGCCCACGACACACAGTGCGCACCGTTCTCTCTGGAGAGCCCCAGCAGCCCTTCACTGGGCTGACAGAGCCAGCAGTTCCTAACTTCTCCTCATGAGGCTGCCATAACCTTGGTGTCAGAATCACACAAGAAGGAAACCCCTCAGTTGTAAGTAGTTAATTCAGGAGCCCTAAGAAGCGTACGTGGAGGCAGCCAGGCATGGCAGCTCCTAAGATACTGTCACATTTAACAGCAGATGCTTGCAGGCCTGCTACTGTAGAACATGACCAGGTGAGTGGAGAATTGCCAGTTCACTAACGTTAAGAAAAAATGTTGATAGTGTTTTATTCGTGAGGGCTGGAGAGATGTCCCGATGGCTAAGCGCTCACTGCTCTTGTGAAGGACGGGGTTCAGCACCCACAAGGCATCTCACTACCATCTGTCTCCGGTTCCAGGAGATAAAGAGTTCTCTTCTCCCCTCCACAGGCACGAGGCATACATGGTATAGGGACATAATCTCAGGCACACAGGTGCATGCATAAAACAAATAACTGTAAAATTTAAACTGTAAATTAAACAAAACCTACCAGCAAACTAGAATTAGAACCATTTTTAACCTTGAAAAAATTACTATGTAATTCTAGTAACGGTCATCAAAATTATTTGTTAAAGACAAATTTCTTTACAACGAAGGATAGGGACATGGCTCAGTGGCCGAGCATTTGCCCGCATCCCCTGGCGAGGGGCAGGGCTACGTGTGGCTCAGTGGGAGAGCTCTTTCATGGGTTTTGGGCACCACACAAGACAAATAGAAGATAAGTAAAGCTAAACTTACCCCTGAAGACAAATTCAAAGTTTGGAGATAATAAACCAGAAGATGACAGCCTAAGTTGTGCATAGATGGAGTCCCTGGCCGGACGGAGGCTGCAGAGTCTTGTCACAGCCTTCCCAACACAGAACTGCTCCGGGTTTGCTGGACCCTGTCTGTGTCTGTATATTTGCAGTGTTTGTTTGTGCTTCCATAGCAAAAGCTGCATGGCTTTAGTTGGCTTGGTTTGTTAGACAGGGTCTAATATAGCCTTATCCCCATGTAGCCAACCTTAGTTTCCTGCTCCCCCTTTCCAAATGTTGGGTGAAAACCAGGGACTCTTGCATGCGAGGCAAGTGGTCTCCTCACTGAGCTGCACATCCCAGGCCTCATGCTCAGTTTTCCCAGGGAAGCATGGGTACTCAGGTAAAGCTGTAGACTTAGACAAGCTGACAAGGAGGGCGGAGTGTCCACCATGGAACTGTGCCATGGGATGGGTCCAGGGATGGAAGAAGAAGTAATATCTTTCCTACCCATCGCAGAGTTCGTGGGCGAAGGCCTGTAACAGCAGAGCTGTGAGAGAAAAGGTTTACATCGCTAGTGAGTGCTTCCTTCAGAGATACCAACCAGAGCTGGCACAGGAGGTGCAGACTTCCCGGACAGACTGCACAGCAGGGCGAATGGAGGCTAGCCTCTGCTACATAGTAAAAGCTTGTTCAAAACAGCTACGCACATTTATCACATGCAGGGTTTCTTCATACAGATTTATATGTTATGTAATATGCATGTTACATATTATATATTGTTATAAATGTGGTATTTTCTTGTTTTTGTTTTATATGGGGTTATATCTGGCCAAGCTAACTGGCTACATACCCAGTAATCCCAGCACTTGGGAGGTAGAAGCAGGAGTATTAGAAGTTCAAGGCCATCCTTAGGTACACAACAGATTTAGGACCAGACTGGGGACGTGGAACCTTGCCACAAATACAACTAATTTTGTAAGGGATAGAGTTTCTCTCTGCAGCCCTGGCTATCCTGGAACTCACACTGTAGACCAGGCTGACCCCAAACTAACAGATTCTCCTGCCTCTGTTTCCCAAGTGCTGGGGTTAAAGGTGTGTGCCCAGCAGAAAGAAAGAAAGAAAGAAAGAAAGAAAGAAAGAAAGAAAGAAAGAAAGAAAGAAAGAAAGAAAGAAAGAAAGAAAGAGAGAGAGAGAGAGAGAAAGAGAAAGAGAGAGAGAAAGAAAGAGAGAAAGAAAGAAAGAATAGCTAAATAAAGGATCAGAGACATCAGAGGTACTTACAAGTTTAAAGCCAATGTCCTTAATAGGGACCTGTAGAGAGAGCTCCTTTGTGCACTGGAGAAACTCCAGGTACAATACCCAAGGACCCGATGTCCTATTGTGCCGCCCTCTGCCCTGGCCCTGCACCACGAACCTTTCTTATTCTTCCAGCCAGCCTCGAACTCTGAGCCTCTCTACAGTATTGGAAGGGACCATTGTGGTTAAGGTGGCAATGGGCTTGGTGCATTTTAATGATGTTAGAGCGAAACCCCAAGGCCCAGCCAGCACAGGGTCCTCCCGGAGGTTGGCTGGGTGATGGCTCAATTAGAGGCCCAGGACTGCTGAGGCGAGTGGGCCAGCGCCGTAATTGAAAGCACATTTTCTTCTCCGAAGCTGCAGCTGGTTTAGCTCTGCTCATGCAGAAAAGGATATAACCTTGCATAACATAGGAAATGAACGGTTGAGAGAGAAGCCAAATTCAATTTTAGTCAGATATGTTGAGGCTGAGCCCATGATCTATGGGAGTCCAGGCGAGCAGCGCACATGTGGGAAGGAGCGCACTCAGCACTCTATTAATCACGGCCGCCCGCCTGGCGCTGCCGCCCCTGTGTGCAGGGGGCTGCTGCGCCCCGCTCCTCCTCAGCGCTGGAGAGCAGCCAGGCACTCCAGAAGTTAACCTCTTAAAGACCCGGAGCTGCTTTCTGTTGAATAAATGTAATTTTGTGGTCAGAAATAAATGCTTGTGATGTAGCAGGGAGCTTTGAAAACAACAGTGAGCCAAAGCTATTACAAATTGCTCCGTGTTGGGGAAGTCAACAGCACACATCAAAATTCCTCGTGTAAGGCAAATTGATTTCGGCCCAGAGCTCTGCAGCTATTCAATAAAAGTCCTATTAAACCATTGTGTGTAATGAACAGTCCAGAGCAAATCTAGTATTTTCAGAGGGTAATTATTTTTAACGTCCTCTTGGTAGCCATCACTAGATCTCTTGGATGCTTACAGTGGGTTCCCAAGTGTGGCGTGCCCTCTTCAACTGGTGTTTGGCCTCTGAGCTGGAGACCCCTCTGCAGCTGCCTCCCAGCTGCCTAACAGGCACCTGGCAGCCTTCTTGTGCCTGGAGGTAAGTGAGGGCCAGCCCTGCCCCTCCAAGAGCGTGTCTCCTGGAGCCAGGCACACAGGAGACACCT